AAATCCGTAATCCACACAAATGGATATATCATATATATATTCCTAAACACAATCAGTGAGGCTTTTGCTCTGATTAAAGGACCTGTTTTCAAACAATTATTTGTCCACATTCAATTTAACTCCTTCCTAGAAAGCAGCATTTTCTTGCAGTCATCATTTGATAGTGTTCTGGTCTTCTCCTAGGCTGACTCTTAAAGCACAGCATTGCTGACCTTTAATGTAAAGTGGCCATTTTTGCAGTTCTAAGGAGTCTGCAGTTCTAAGGGAACAGTTCTAAGGCGCTCGTAGGTCAGTAGACAGGAGTGTTGGTTTTGGGGAAGTCAGCTTTAGGTTTCAGTGCAAAAGGTGACCCAGTATGCGTTATCTAATCTAGCTTAAACTTCAGTTTCTCACCTGCAAAATGGGTATTAACTGTTAACATTCTCTAGGATTAGATATGAGATAATGCATAGAAAGAAGCTGGAATAGTCTGGACTCTGACAATAAATACATGTTATTATTACTACTGGTTCCACAAAGCTTCCTAGCTGAGATGGACAAGGCAGGGTAAACCTGAGAAATGGTATCATAGTTACAGTCATCTCTCTTTATTGGTGTCTCTCACCACCAGTTAGAGATTTTTTTTTTTAGAGATCCACTTCTGTAGAGGAAAGTGAGACTTTTGAATAAATGTAGATTTCACAGATCAAAGAAAAGATTCAAACCAACTCTCCTGACCTCAAGCCTAATACTCTCAAGTCTAATGCTTTTTTCCCACTTCTTTATTTTTATTTCTTTATTTTTTAGTTTGCTATAGGGTATGTACACTCACCGTAGGTGGGGGTGGGGTGTAGGGGTGGGTGTGGAGAGAAAGCACTTCTCAGGGAGGACAGACCCGCCTCTATCTCTTCTCTTCCATTCTCCTCTTGGGATATTTTTGGGTATGCAAGCACAGGCCCTCACAGTGCTCTTCAAGTCTCAGGTCTAGGACTTGAACTGCACAGTCAGCCACGTGGGATCCAGCCACCTCAACCACTGACACTGAGCAGTCAAGTGCCTTATCCACTGGCTGGCCCTCTTTGTATTACCTTTTATTTAATAATGATTTTATTTAACTTTACATGTTTATTTATTTTAATTTGGCTAGAGAGGGTCAGAGAGAGAGGGAGAAAGTGAGAAAGCAAGTCTCCAGGTACGGGACTTGAACTGAAGTCGGCCATGTGGGAGTCCAGCCCCTTAGTCATCACACCACCTGTGGCCCCTGTTTGTATTACTTCTCTAGACAAAATATCCTAGCAGTTCATGCTTACTGTTAAAAAGGAAGACTCGCTGTAGTTCAACCACCAAGCTGGGAAAGCAGCATGAGAAGGTATTTTGCAAGATTTGTTCTCAAACCACTTGGGGATGCTGATCTTAAATTTGTAAGGATGAAAAGTCTATAGCCACCCTATTCTACTAGGTTTTTCATCCCTAAAATGAAAGTAAACTCCTTTCCTTCCTTCCCTCTCTCTAGTGGTTACCTATCAGTAGGTCATTTCAAGTGATTCCATCCCAACTGACTGATTATAGCTGTAGAACGAGAATACAATTTTATTGTAAGGTATATGTTTAAGAAAGTCCTTGTAGGGCCAGCAGGTGCAGCAGTGGTTGAGGTGGTTGCATCGCACTAGGTCAACTGTGAGATTAGAGTCCTGGACCCGGCAGCTTGAAAAACATATTGAGCGTTTGCCCCAAATCCCTAGAAGAGAAAGGAGAAGAGATTGCAGCTCTGCCATTAGCCCTGTGGAGGTGGGGGAGGCTGATTTCTCACTTTCTCTCTCTCTCTGTTTCTCTCAGCTCTCTCAGGCAAGTGTACTGGCCTATGCAAAAATCTTAAAAAAAGAAAAGAAAGCCCTTACTATCATGCAGTGGGGAAGGAGGAGGGATATTAACACTCGCACAGCTATAGTTAATCACTACTGATCCTTATCAGATTGGTGAGTAGCTGTTCTCATGACCCCCTAGGAGAGTACTAGCAGAACTCAGAGGAGCTGTTTTGAATGCAGAGGGTAAAATAATCCTAAAGTGTAGCAGGTATCTAGCGCTTACACTTCCTGTCACTTTCAGGAAGTGGAGGCAGGAAGGGGGCAGGCAGAGGAGAAAGCAGTGGAAAGAACTCAGAGGGTCTTAATGACAGAATCAGTCAGGTCTACGTAGGGCTATTTCTAAAAATGATGTAGCAATCTTTCTGGTTTTAAATATATGACGTCCTCTGCTCTCAGTACTCAGCAAAGAGAGCACAACTGAAAGTCCATGTTAAATCGTGCTAACATTTCTTAATCACTTAACATGCCTCACCCATTACATGTTGAGTCCTACGTAATTCCACCCAGCATATTGTTTGTACTTGATAAATATCTGCTGACTGTGTGGCTCCTCCCATGGTTCTCCCTACCCCTTATTATTTTAGAAGTGACTCTATGGTGGACACATTAAAATTTCAATACTTGGGGGTGAAGAGGTACCATAGTGGTTAAGGCGCTGGACTCCCAACATGGCTGACCGTGGGTTGCATCCCACACCTAGCAGCTTGAAAAGTACATCAAACATGTGTTGTGTGCCCAAAATCCTGAGAAGAGAATGGGATCATAGTGTAGGCATCTCCCCTGGAGTGGGGGTGGAATTCTCATTTTCCCTATGTCTCCCTCCAGAGAGTGCATGTGCTCTATGGCAGCAATCCAAAAAAAATAATAGTAATAATATTTGATACAGCCTTCCAAACAATAAAATAGCACAATTTTTAAAGACCTATAATAGCGTTGTCCAATAGAGTTTTCTGTCATGATGGAAATGTTCTTTAACCTGCTCTGACCAGTTCAGAAGCCACACTGGATATTGACGACCTGCTAGGTAGCTAATGAGACTGAGAAAGTGAATTTTAATTTAATGTAAATGAAAGTAGTCATTTGTAGCTTGTACCTATACTACGATGTAGGGTACAAGTCTAAAGATTTTGTTAAATGTCCTCTGGCCCTCTTGATTTTAAAATTAGCCTTTTCAAAATTTTTTGATTTTTTTTTTTTTTTTTTTTGCTATAGGGACCATGCTTCCTGGAGAGAGAGACAGAGAGACAGAAATCACCCCTCAGGGGGGATGGCCACGCCACAATCCCTTTCCCTTCTCCTCCTGGGATCTTGGGCATGCATGCACACATGTCCAGCATGAGTTTCAAGTCACCAGGTCTGGGACTCGAACCGCGGTTGACTACATGGAACTCCAGCAACATAACCATTACGCCATCTGCTGGTTCCCAAATGCGCTATTTTGATTAATACCATAATTATAGTACATATGTCCCTCTTATCCATGTTTCCTCTTTTTAAAATACAAATAATTTGGCTTAATGACAACTCTAAAACGAGCATAGCAAGCCAAACTGATCTGCACAGCAGATTTATCTCAGGATAAATTTATGTGTATCATTTTTAGGACTTGAATTTTGTGACCAATTTCTAATTTCAACTATTAACACAAAAGGAGTGAGTCTGTGCAGCTGAAATCGTGAAGCAGAGTTCAGCCAGCACTGACAGGCTGGCCTTTCAAGCTGGTCTCCTGGATGGCCTCCTCGGTCCTCAGGAATCTGGCACCTCCAGTGGCCCCTGGGTCTGCAGAAGCCTCTACCTCTCCACCTCCCACCCATAGACCTTGAGTCACAGGTGGTAACAACCTTGCCTAATTTTATAGATTTAAAATAAAAAAAAAAAAGACTCTGCAAAGACCAGGGGAGAGTAAGAAAACTAATACTGACCAAGTTTGTACTATGTGCTTGCTAGACACTTCCTCTGATCTACGATGCTCAGTAAGATATGTTGCCTGCAAGAATCAATGCTATCTCCCTGGCAAATAAACGGTCTTTGGTAATTTTTCTTAATGCATAAATACCTGAATACATTTCTGTAAGAGTTTATTCCCATATTGCAGATGAAGCCACTGAAATCTACGACCTCAAGGCTAAACACACACAATATTCCAATAGATCTTTTTAACTCCTTTCTGCTTCCTGTGTCCTCAGGGCTTTCCTCTTTCAAAGAGTAGGACCAACTAAACTCACCACATTTATGCCAACAGATGCAAACAGATTGCTAGAATCCGCCCCATCCCCCCCCTTTTCAGGGATCTTTGAATTTTTTCGCAATCTTCCGAGGACGGTGTCAACTCACAGAAATGGCTCCCTCGGAATTTCACGCTGGGCCAGATAAATTTTATTTTGGTATTTTAGTGGCATTGAAAAATATTCCACAGCAGTTATTTCCTGGAGTCTGGGCGCTTACATAAAATCGACGCATTCATTTATAAATTAAACGTCAAGAGTGTTTGCATTGATGTAAATCTGTATTATTACGAGAGGTAGACGATTGATTTGTGTATTAGGCTTTTTCACTACGGATGACTAGTAAAAGACACGTTAGAAACTGGCTCCTCCCACAGCTCTTTCCCCCCACCTCACAAAACCTCCTCTGCTTCGGAGTACAGTCCAAAGACGTCGGAGCATTTGGAAAGGATTTGAAAATTAAAACACGGCTCTGTGATTTTCAACACAAAGACCACAAACAGCGCCAGAGCACAAGAAGTATTTAAAATATATCACATCCAGAAGTTGGAAGGCTACAAACTGCAAGCCGTCCAGGCCTGTCTGCAGAGACTGTTCAGGCTTCCGCCCAGCAAAAACCAGGCAGGCGACGCGTAGCGACGAATTTCAGCTGCAGAAGAGGAATAGCATCACCTGCAGTCGGAGGCGTGGGAAACGCTGCCCGAGGGGGTTTGGAAACCCGAGAGGTGCGCACGGCGGAGCTCGGGGCCGCTCAGGTGCAGAGTGCGAGGAGAGCCAGCGCTCGGTGGAGCCCGGGAGACTCGGCAGCTTAGAGGAGGCACAAGTTTCACCGGAAGGGCCCTGCGGCCCTCCAGACCGCTGCGGCAGGACCGCCGGC